CAGACGGACGGAGGAGAGGGGGGGGGGGGCGGGGGGGGGCACGCACCGGACCCGCCGCCCGGGGGAGCTCGGCGGTAGCGGCGGGTCCGACACGTGGGAGCGGGCGGCCTTCAGCACCGCCGGCGGGGACAGCGCCTGCCCGCGGCCGCCCGCCCGAGCGGCGGAGAGCGCGGTTCAGCACCGGCGGGGCGGACAGCGCCGCCGCCCCCTCAGCAGATTAGCGGGGCCGGGCGCTCCCCCGCGCCGGGATAAGGCCGCGGCCGGGCGGCGGCGGGAGCGGAGGTCAGCGGGCGGGGACCCATGGTTGGCCTCTCTTACAGCTCTGGGCCATGGAGGGGAAGGAGAGGTGAGGAGAGCCGGCCCCCCGCGCACCCTGCCCCACGCCGCACCTTGGAGCGTCCAGCCTGAGGGGGACCAGCGATGCCTCTGGGGATGAATAAGCATGGATCTCGCTCTACTACCTCTTTGCCTCCAGACCCCACGGAGATCGTCAGGAGCAAGGCCTGCTCCCGCAGGGTCAAGCTCAACGTGGGGGGGTTGGCCCACGAGGTTCTCTGGCGGACCTTGGACAGGTTGCCGCGGACCAGGCTGGGTAAGCTCAGAGACTGCAACACGCACGACTCCCTCATGGAGATCTGTGATGACTACAACCTGGATGAGAACGAGTACTTCTTCGACAGGCATCCCGGGGCATTCACCTCAATCTTGAACTTCTACCGTACTGGCAAGCTGCACATGATGGAGGAGATGTGCGCCTTGTCCTTCAGCCAGGAGCTGGACTACTGGGGGGTGGATGAGATCTACCTGGAGTCCTGTTGCCAGGCCCGCTACCACCAGAAGAAGGAGCAGATGAATGAGGAGCTGAAGAGAGAAGCTGAGACGCTGAGGGAAAGGGAAGGGGAGGAATTTGATAACACTTGCTGTGCTGACAAAAGGAAAAAGCTCTGGGACCTCCTGGAGAAGCCCAACTCCTCCGTAGCGGCCAAGGTAAGATCTCTACGTTTCTTCTCAGGTATTCTCTGTGTTGGCTCATGACTGTGGTGAAACTTACATGAGGTATTGCCCTGGTACTCTTGCTTTAGCATCTGGGCACTTGTGGCTGGATGAATGCTGTGAGTGAAGGGGAGAAAGGCTTCCCAAATGCAAACAAGGTTTAATGTATCTTTTTGGGGTAGGTTGGAAGGGATCTGGTTTGAGCTTCCCTGGGGCAGTCTGGGCTGCTCAGTGTGGGAGCGGCTCCACTGACTGCTGGGTCAGCATACCCTGGTTGCTGTGGCTGAACATTAGTAGACTTATCTGCTGTCTGTCTTGGTGTATTTTGTAGTAGAGATTTCTTTGGGCCTAACACATGTGTGTCTCCTGCCACTTAACCAAACTGGCTAAGACAACGAAATCTACTTGAATCTCTTAGAGGAAATTTCTTAGACGTGGGTCCAGTCAGGAAATAATGCCTTCCCTTTTAGGGCTTAATTTAAAATTTTGTGGTAGAACGCATCTAGTTATTTGTATCATGCACAAGTCTAGTCTGTGGGTCTGCTAAAACTAGCACTTGAGTTTAATCCTTTATCTGATTCCAGCCTATTTTAAGTCTCCCTGTGCAATACTGCTGCATGTCTGTCTCTGTCAATAGTTAAGTCTGAAGTTGAGGCCAGTGCAACAGATCTACTCGAAGGTGTTTGGAAAATAACATCCATGTTAGGAGAAACCAATGTCAGAGTTGGCTCTGATAATTTAGCTGTCTCATGTTAGTCACATTCTTTAGTGGGGAAAATCTCTGCGAACACAGTGATTCAGTAACCATGGGGACAAAAGTGAAGGGGAAGAGGTTGAAAGCTGTGGGATGAATAACTGAAAAGCATGAGAGACTGAGCAGTAGGACCAAAACTTGAATTTTCTATGTACTGGCATCCTCACAGTATGGCAAATAAGTAGAAAGAGGCCCCAGCTACCTCTTTAATGTCACTCCCCTGCTGTAAATGCATTTGCAAATGCAAGCCTTAGCTCCATCCCCATAGGAAATCTGGCTTTGGTGGCCTGCTTATGAAAACAGACTTCTTTCCCCCTCTTCTCTCTTATCAAAATGTTGCACATTGTGAGCCAAGAGCATGTATGAAAGTTTGGGGAAAGGAATTTTATGAAGTGTGGTGGCTCATTCTGGCAGGGGAAGGGAGAGGCATGGTTCACTGCTGAACTGATTATCACATTTTTAATGACAAACAGAGCCCCAGAATGTCTTTTTCTCTCCAGTGGCATGGATGACACTGTGCTGAATGCATTAATCATTTATAAGGCTCCTTTGGCACAGTCCTGGAATCCTGAAACACAGGCCCCAGGCTTCGCTGTCTGTGGCACTGACTCAAAATCCATTAGAGACTGTTGATGCTCCTGATTTATTGTATATGAGCAGGGGTCATTCTTGCCAAATAAGTGTCTTTTGTGATTTAGAAATGAAATACACTCTAGCTTCATTTTCTGAGAAAATTCTCAGAGTAAGTGCATTCAGCATTGCAGGGTCTGGATTAATTGAGTGTGAAAGGTAATGCATTATTATCCTTCCCATTTAAAGCTACCATTCTGTGACTTTGTTACTGTAAAGAAAATGGTGCTGTATGTTCTCGGACCTCAAATATTCTAGCAGTTCCCAGACAGAGATTTCTACTCATTTCAAGTGTAGCAAGGAAAATGGGTATCACGAACAATTAGCTTACTAGGCAGGGACAGCAGAGCTGCTAAGCCTATTCTTTATCCGATTTTCTCCCTGCTGGTGGATCGCTTTTCTCTCATGCCAGAGTATGCCCTTTGCTTTGATCACCTTCATGAGAATTCATTCCACATAGTGAAAAGGCTGGTCCCAATCTTCAGCTTCTAGTGGGAAGATGTGGGGAGAGGGACTTGGCAGACTGACCCGTTATCTGACCTAACCAGCTGTGCCCAGGCTCTGTTTCAGGCTGCATTTTCTAAATCTGAGCCTCTGCCTGGTAGCTGAGGAAAGCTGGCCAGGAGCTATCTGCTCAGTGAAGCACTTTCGCTGAGGCCACAGGCCTACAGGAACTTCTGTTGCCTTTCCTAAAGCCAGATTCCATCTGTTTTGCCAGGTCTGGGAACTCAAACTGGTCCTATAGAAAGAGACTGAAGTAAACGATTTTGAGGGTTAATGATTGTCATTGAAGGATCTAAAAATCACTGTTGGGAAAATCTGCACTGCTCTTGTTTATCCTTTTGCATTGAGCAGTACAAGTCTGAAGCAAAGGTTTATCCATTTAAATGTAAGAAATACAGGCTCCCTTCATGTTCTCCTCAAGAAGTCTAGAAAATGGCTATAATGCAGGTTCTCCCCCAAACCCTGGGGGGCCATATCCTGTCATTTAACTCCTGCTCCAGCAGTGTGGGCTTTCTTGCTGACTGTCAATATTGTTGTATTTTAACATTTTCTGCACAAGACCTAACCCGACTCTTCCATGACAGCTTACTGCAGAACTTCTCGTGGTTATACTGGGGCTGGTTAAATACTGAGAGAGTGAGTTCTTTTCTATTTGTGTTTAGTGATTTTTGTTTTTTAAAAGGAATTATATGTGAACTACCTCAGGGTGGAAAACAGTGTTCAATAAGAGAAGAAGAATCCCCCAGACCTTAATTTTTGTTGCTCTTTTATCCACTGGGGATTTAGCTATATCTTTTAACTAATCTGTCTGGCTTTTAAAGTAATCACCTCACGGCAAGCAGTGTCTTATTTATGTGCAATGTTTTACCCTGTGTATGACTGGGAAGAACACTCTGTTAGATCTTTATAATACCCACTCTGAGAGCCTCCGGATTTCTGCAGTGAGGCATCAGACAGCTGCTGAAGCCCTGGGCTTGCTGCTTCGTTACCCCCCCAGCACTAGCAGAAGGGTGTTTGTGCTGTTCCTATAACAATGCTGCAGTCCATCACAGCTGCAGCTGAAGCTGCACCATCCTTGTGTGAGGTGCTGTAGAGCCACAGGGCAGCACTCCAGCCCTTCTCTGGGATCGGACAGTGCAACAGGCACCTGAACTGTTTCACCCACCAGACCAGAGGCCCTTGCTGTGCTGTGCTCCCCTGCGCTCACCCTGCCCAGAGGGAAAACTGCTATGCACAAAACTGAGCACCGAGGGACTGTCCCTCTACCAAATGAAACAATATTTAACAGACAGTTATTAAATAAAATTCTTGATTTCTCTCTCTCCGGCCTTAAAGATATTTTAAAAGATAGGTTTCTCCTGCTTCCTGTGGCTTTATTTGCCTGTATATCCCTAAGAAATGCTCACTGCTCTCTTTGTGGATGCTTCCTCCTCTTCCTGCAATCACTGATTTTTCATATTCCAGCTTACTTTTATCATTCTCCCAGTCTCCCTTAATACTTTGGTGGAGGGCTTTTAGGCTTTTTTTTAATTTGTTTTTGTTTTTCTAAATAGCGTTCTTCCTGTACTTTGGTGTACTCACAACATCCATTTTTAACCATAGAGGACTCTGGTGTTCACTTCTGTCTGGATTTATCCTAGATGATGAAGGTGCAGATATTTTCTGGAGTAGGTATTACAGTACCTCAGAGAACCAGCCTAGCTGAAATTCCAACCAGACCTCATGGCATCCTGAAAAATAAGACTGCAGTTGTTGCATGTTTGCCAGTATAAACAAATAACAAATTAAACCAACTCAACATCTTAATTAACTTACATGGTCTTTTACATTCTCTGATCACCCAGACCTTTCCATCAACTCCTCAAGAACCTTGTCCTTTTTGCCTCTTAAATGGAAAAGAAATCCTTTCCTCTTTTTAGTCCTTAAAAATTATTTCCCTGATCAATATTTGAGCAATTAGTGTTGCACAGGGTGGGGGGGAAAAGTCTGCTCGTCTTACAGACTCCTCTGCATGTGCTGGCTTCATCTATTTTTCCCTTGCTGTCCTGAAGGCTGAGAAAAACATGATGACATCACCCACTTTGCAAAAAGCTTCTCTGCATATCTGCATGTCAAGTAGGATGTGCACTTCCTCTCCTCCTCGCTGCCTCCACTTCCCACTTGTCCCTGTCCTGTTGGGAGCTCAGCTGCAGCAATCCCTCCATTCTGGCAGGCTATTTCTCATCCTTTCCCCTGTTCCTACTATGTCTTTGCCAGTGCAATAATATCACGTTTATCCTTGAAAACATTGAACTCCAATTCAGTAATCTTATTATGCATGCCTCTACATTTGTTGAACAGCTTTTCTCGAGCTGCCCACTGCTCTCTGCTGCTAATCTCTGGATGCATTGCTTAGGGATTGGGGAGGTTGCTCTGTAAGCTCTTTTCTTATTATTGTTGATAGTAGTGACAAAATAAGAATGATAAAGCCTCTTGGAGATGCATTTGCTACATCTAGAGCGTTCTTCCCCCACATGAGCTTTCTATTCCTGGCCCTCCCTTATGGCATGCAGTTTTCATTCATCTCTAAACCTGCCTGAATTTAGCATTCGACAGAGGAAACCCCTCTCCCTAATTGCAGGGGTCATATCTTAGCCATGTCTTGTCTCTCTCTGAGACTCCCATCACTGGGCAGATGTTGACTTTGTTTGTTAAAGCCAGATTGCCTGTACTTTTCTTCCATCCATGACTTTCATTTTTCTGATGCAGGTTCTGCCTTAGCTTTTCTGCTATATATAGTAGGTTTTTTCCCTTCTTCCAAAGTAAATTCCTGCCTTTGGAGATCCTCAAAAGCAGAGCCTCATTCCAAAGCCTTTCCCCTGGGTTCAGGGATTTGCCACTCTAGTCTATAGCTTATCGCTGGGTGTCTAGCACAGCACTGTCCTGTGGATGCACAAACAATTGCTGTTCTGTATCAATGTCTTTTCATCCTGCAGCTCCTTTCCGGGTGCTTCTCCTTCCAATGAGCTACATAAATCTTTTGTCTGGGGAGCCCTAATTCCTGTGTCCAGCTCCCTGCAATGTGTCCTCTGCTTCTGTCTCACTGACGACCTTCCCACAGTGTATT